TGTATATTGATGCATATTACTTAAAATTCAAGATTACAAGTAATTATGCATAAGTATAACTTATTAAAGCTCGATATTTGAATTCGTATAAATAACTGCGGATAAACATAATCAAATAGAGTATGAACATCTCATTTTAAAATATAAAAAATCTAAAATATAATTAAAATAATTATCGAGTTCCAACAAAATAAATAATTATTATCTGTATAAAAAAATTATATTATTAATCAAAATATAAATTACTTCGTTATTATATATAAATTAAATTATAAAAAATTAAATTAAAAAATTACACAAAAAATGAGGAATTTCAAATAGTTAATTTGATACTAATATCGATATATTTTTGTCAAATTTTTATGATATCTTCAAACATATATTTTATTTAAAAATAAAAACATTATCGCTATCTCAAAATCACATAAAGCCATATTATAACATCGACTGAGAAAAAGAATAAAATGAAGTATTAAAATCACGATGTATCTCGCTGCATTGCACGAGTATGCTTCTAGTATATATATATATATATATATATATATATATATATATATATATATATATATATATGATCCATATAATGTGTATATAACTCATGAATATTTAGTAAAATCATTAATATATTAATTGAAAATGGTCCCTAATATAATATTACTAGAGTTTATTTTTAAGATTAATTTTTAAAGATTTAGTGTTATCATACTATTACCAATTAGTCATCAAATTTGCCACCAATTTCTCACGGGAATTCTCTTCAATTATGTGTAAGCTTAGGGTGGAAGGAGACATAAAATTATGGGTCTTGCATACCGTTTCACTAGTTACCGTGACCTTACGACTTCTGAAATATTGTCAAAATAAGGTAATTTGAATAAGGTGTACACAACTCTCGGGGTGTTTGGGATTGCTTATAAAAACAACTTATTAACTTATCTCGGTATGGTACCGGTAATAAGCACTTTTGAATGTTTAGATAAACAACTTGTACCGGTGTCAAACCAGTAATAAAGAGCTTTTGAAGAAGTTAAATTCTTCTGACTTATAATAAATTGATAAGTGATTTTGTAGAAAAAACATAAATTGTTTCAAATAAGCAATCCCAAACACCCCCCTATATATAATATTACAATCACCTCTTTCGTTAAGAATCAAAATTTTAGGATATAAGTTACCTTCTAAAATTTATAATGAACATATAAGTTAATAAGTAATGTACCATCATTTGGGCAGTTTGACTCTAACATTAGGGTATCTGAAGTAACTGTGAATAAGAGATTCTAGAGCCCAAGAAGAATTTTGCAGAAAAGACTTGTAAAAATCTTATATCTTATGGCATTGTTAATAGAATTGTAAGATTTAGTGTTAAACATCAAAGTCTTGAGTGTTTTTGTGCATTTATAATATGGATTCAAAGTGTAGACATTTGCTCTAATGAATTTAAGAAGGGGGGGGGGGGGTAAACTTGTACCATGATACACAAGTGTCATTTACCAAATACTTACGCGTTAAACGCTTACTGGTAAAATCCAACAAAAACGGAATCGTATGCAACAATTTATCCGGTAAGCGTTAACCGTGGTAAGAGTCATTGATCTTACATACAGGATAAGATTCTTGATCCTTATCGTTACCATATTCATCCGATAAGGTAACGTGACTTTGTACATGATTACCATGTGTAAGAGTTTGGTAAATGACCCGTAATAGGTTGAGGAACTTATGCAAACTAATATACGATTAATCAGAAGGATAAGAGAAGCAGGGTACTCCTTTGGATGGCTATTTTGACTTATGGTCAACTAAGTGATTTTCTGAAACTGGACCATAGTTACATGTACATGCAGGTACTTGTGCCTTCAGGAACGGTTATTTATTATAGATCCAAACTTGATAGGCCACGGGGTCAATACCTTTTCCGCTTTTTGGACTCATGCATGTACTACTCACACACATGGCCACGATCCTTTGGGATCTAGGCTCGGTGAGTTAATAATAATAATAATATATATATATATATATAGAGAGAGAGAATGAGAATCTATATTCACAAGTCACAACTACAAGGTACAACCATACAAGCTAACATACTCCTTGTATATATATTTAGAAGAAAAGTATATTAAAACAAACCAAAAGAGCAGAATATATCTCGCCGAGAGATGAGTTGGAACAGAGGGAAGGTAAAATATATATATATCTGACCTCTATCTTTTTGTTTTCGTGACAATCCACTGGTGACATTTGTGTGAAAAGAAGAAAAAGAAATATGTTAAAATTTTGAAAAACTATATAAGAGTTAATAATAGCAATGAAACTAGAAAGAGAGGAAAATCGACATGTCAAATTTTAAGAAGTACATGAAAAACAGAACCTAGTTGTGGAAACAAGATACTCCTATTCTAACTTAGCATTTTGGTAATTCTAACCATATCCCTTACCCTCTAACGGCAGACCCAAGTGCAATGGAGTGCAGGCAATTGCCCCGTGAAGTCATCCTACCACCCATATTA